AATACTGACATACGATCAAAGCTGCCAGCAACATCGTTTAACTTTGATATTGTATATTATATCTTCGTGTGATCAATTCAATTGAGTTTTTCTTGACCAAAGCATCTTACAAACATTCCTCAACATACTCCATATGTTTCAAGCTCCATTTTAAGCTCCAAACGCGCATCAAACTGCTCCCAAAGCACTGCTCCACTCGAACTATCTGAAATCAACATAAAACATGAGCAGTACGGGAATTCTAACGAAATACATGAGCTGAACATTATTTATCTAAATGACATGAAAATGTACAAAATATGGTGCTAAAATGATAATGAAAACTACCCTATAAGATGCATAAAATGGCATCTAACATGTACCTGAAACACATTTTACACAAACATTGTAAGCACGAAGCTTAGTGAGTTTCCCAAAATACTACACACACAAATAGTTAGCCTCTCATCGCTATATCTCGATAAGGACCCTCCGGTCATATGTCTCAGTGAAGACCCTCTGGTCTCACGGCTCGGTATGGACCCTCCGATCCTGTGTCTTAGTAAAGACCCTCCGGTCTCACTGCTCGGTATGGACCCTCCGTTCATAGCTCAATAAATGCACAAAGTAATATAAAACAATAATCACAAAGATAGAAAGCATAATATCTCATATCTCGGTATAAGCAAATAAGACCTTCCGGTCCATAACACAAATAAGACTCTCCGGTCGCACAGTAATTACCACCCAAGTAAGTATAGTGAGAAGATTCACCTCAGATGATGAACATATCCTATAAATGTTGCTGCTGCACACCAGCCTCTAACACTGAGCTAAACCCACAATTAACCCGACCTATAAATAACCCAAACCCATTGGGCCCACCAAGGCCCAATACCAAATGGGCCCACCAAGGCCCAACCCTAAACTTAAAGCCAAACTAGCACGCCTAACACAAGGTTCCAAGACATATATATAAATTCCCCTGGCCAAAATCTCTAATACAACAAGCCCAAACCAAGACCCAACGCTTAAGGCCCAAAACGAGATCTAGACCAAAAAGCCGACAACGAGTTTACGCGGGGCGTACCTCTCTTGGTACGCTCAGTGTACACGCAAATCTTGATCAGAGGACTTAATTCAGTACGCGGGGCGTACTGAAACTTATGTGGGGTGTAATGCTCTGGTCTACAAACCTCAAATTTTGACTTAACCACTTCAATACATAGCATCCAAACCTTAGGGAAGCTTCATTACAAGTCCCTAACTGGTAAAGTTGGCGACTTTATCAGTTTGCATATCTTAATGGGACCCAACTTCCAAAAATAACCATTAAGACTCTCTTTAATCATCTTAACACATGCATGGAGAGGTCTAGACGACCAAGTTCTCATTTTTATGACTCAAGGCAACCCGATACACTTAAAAAGGATAAGAGATTTGCACTAGAGTTCACCAAATTCACACAGTTCCAATCTTGGGACATAAAACCCTAAAAATGGACCCAAAACAAGAACCAACATAACAGTGAGCATGTTTTAAACTTGATATCTCTAGGAGATGCACCAATAAGAGTAGAACTCAGATCCAAGAGCTATAATCATTAGCTATCCTCTTTCAAGGCTCCCTTTTCACCAAGAGCTTCACCAAGGACACTCAAATGAGCCTCCATACTCACACAAGCTAGGAGAAACGAGATTAGGGCTTGAGAGGGTTTGGAGGCTGGAAATGGTGGCTGAAAATGAGGCCATCATGTTCCTTAAATAGGGACACTCCACAATATTTGGGTTTCTTTCTGGACCTAGTACGCCTAGCGTACCCTTTGGTACACACAACATACTAGGTGGCTTTCGCGATCATGCAAAACACATGAGCACGCTGAAATTACACAAGTGTACGCCTTGCGTACCCAATTGCCACCCATTTCTCAATAAGGACTATTCTTGCCAAAACTTCAAACTGTCATAGCTTCTTCGTTATAAGTCTGTTTCCAATGAACCTTATATCCACGAAAAGGTAGCGATAAGCCCTACGCTCCGAGCAGCTCATCACAGGCTTAAAACTCCACGAACAAAACCCAATTTCATAAAAGATCGATCCAACGCTTTCACTGATACTCTTGGGCTCTAAAGCACAACACAAACCCCTTCATCACACCGCCTACCTTATGCATATCAAAAAAGGGCCTAAACCTTTATCCTTCAAAGCCTCAAAACCTTCTCATACTCGGATTACAGCTAACGAGCGTTGAATCGCAAAACAATCCGGAACAGGATGTTACAGACCATCTTTGGACTTCTTAGCTATAGGGCCTCGGTGGGCCATCAGAAGTCAGTTATTGGGCCTAGAACATGTTTGGGATTAAGGGAAGGCCCATTTGAGGAGTTAGGCCAAATTTAGAAAATTAGGCCGTAAGTGAGTCTTTAGTGGTGTTGGAAAGGCTTTATGGAATTGAACCACTGATGTTATGGATTTGGAACTAGGTTATGATCCGAATTAGATCAAGGGCAAAATGGTCATTTTAACCTAAAAAGGATTATTGAGTTTTGACTAAAGTGTTATTTTGCATTGATAGCTCGGGAAGTCATCGGAGTAGCCGTTAGAGATTTCGTACCGTGAAATTTTGCATTTAACTTTGTGAGCTGAGTTATCCTCCTGTATGAACGGGTCAAAGGCACTAATGCCGACCCGTATATGTATGCTAGTATGTTTCGGACCAAGGTCCGATGTTGGGCAGTGCCCGATGTAGGTTTATATGTTTCCGGATTCCGATCTGATGCCGACCGGTACCTGAGGAATGTTTTTATGATTGATGTCTTCGTGATTCTTGCATGTGTCTGTTTTGTATGTTTCCGGATTACGGTCCGATGTCAGGTAATGCCCGAGGAATGTTTGTATGCTTTCGGATTTCGGTCCAATGCCGGGCGGGGCCCGATGAATGTTTATATGTTTATGTTATGTGATTATTTATGTGTATTTGTTGATATATATATATATATATATATATATATATATATATATATATATATATATATATATATATATATATATATATATATATATATATATATATATATAGTTGAAAAAACAGTTTTAATTGATAGTTGAAAAATTGGTTACATAAAAAATTAGTTAATAACTAAAAAATTAGCTGATAAAAAATATAAAACATCCTAAAAATCATGACCCAAAATTTCATTTTTAAATCATTAAATAAACATAATTACTAAAAATCAGTTGTCAAAACATGAACCATAATATCTCAAAATATCAAAAACAATTTATCCATATCAAACACATGTTAAATATATCAGAGTAATAATCTCAGGCTAACATCATGGTGTGTCCACTGCAATCATCATGAGCTCTTTCCCTTGCTACCAGAAGTACCTGAAACCAAAACTGAAAACTGTAAGTACGAAGCTTAGCACGTCTATCCAAACTACCACATACTATACATATAAGCACGTAATCAAATAATAACATATCATTGGCCCCGCCCAGCATCGCGCAAAGCTCGGTGTGTGTGTGTGTGTGTATATATATATATATATGTATATATATATATATATATATATATATATATATATATATATATATATAGGGAAGGGTTATTTGGAAAATAAAAAAACCCTAAAAATCATAAAAATGCATAAATAAATACCAAGACATCACAAAACTTTTTTTTGAATTTTTTTTATCAAAAAATCGCAGCATTTTTTTTACAATTTTATTTTTTTTTTTGTAAAAAAAAAATTCAAAATTTTTTTCAGCGATTTTGACATAAAAGTTGCGATTTTTTGATTATATATATATATATATATATATATATATATATATATATATATATATATATATATATATATATATATATATATAGGTTTTATGGAAAACAAAAAGTAAAAAAAAACCCCTAAAAATCATTAAAATGCATAAAAAAATACTTAAAGATCACAAAACTATTTTTTGAATTTTTTTATCAAAAAATCGCAACTTTTATGTCAAAATCGCTGAAAAAATTTTTGAATTTTTTTTTTACAAAAAAAATTGATTTTTTTTTTTCAGCAAAATTGTAAAAAATGCTGCGATTTTTTGATAAAAAAAAATTCAAAAAAAAGTTTTGTGATGTCTTGGTATTTATTTATGCATTTTTATGCATTTTTAGGGTTTTTTTGTTTTCCAAATAACCCTTCACTTTATATATATATATACACACACACACACACACACACACACCCCGAGCTTTGCTCGATGCTGGGCGGGGCCAATGATATGTTATTATTTGATTATGTGCTTATATGTATGGTATGTGGTAGTGTGGATAGACGTGCTAAGCTTCGTACTTACAGTTTTCAGTTTTGATTTCAGATACTTCCGGTAGCAAGGGGAAGAGCTCATGATGATTGCAGTGGACACACCATGATGTTAGCCTGAAATTATTACTCTAATATATTTAACACGTGTTTGATATGGATATATTGTTTTTGATATTTTGAGATATTATGGTTCATGTTTTGACAACTGATTTTTAGTAATTATGTTTATTTAATGATTTAAAAATGAAATTTTGGATCATGATTTTTAGGATGTTTTATATTTTTTATCAGCTAATTTTTTAGTTATCAACCAATTTTTCAACTATCAATTAAAACTGTTTTTTCAGCTAAATATAAATTTAGTAAGACATGTGAAAAATGTTGTGAGTAGATAAATCATGAAGTTTCGTATGCATTAACTTCGGAACAGGAGACAAAACTTGATGTTCGTATCGAATATTAATCGGTATGTGAAAGCCCGTCCGAAAATCATTTTCATGGAAATTCCATTTCCAAAAGAAAAAAAAATAATGATTTGTTCGACACCTAAAATGCAATATATTACCAATTTATATAGCAGAGTACACTCTCGATGGCTCTACTTTATAAACTATCGTGTATTATGTAACTAATTATCTAATATTTGATAATTTAAACAAGAGAGTTTATCTTCATAAAATAAGATTTTATTACCACGTGAGAGATTCCAAATGGGGCCAAACTAACCCTCATCTCCATCTCCCCCAATTAATTCTAGTCGCCATTTTCAGCTCTGACCTGATATACACCTTTCTTTATCGACAATTATTATTGTCGTTACTCTCTTGTTCTCTCGCTCTATATGATATACTCGTCTCATTTGCTCCACTCAAGTCACAGGAGCATCCAACAATCAGCAACATGAAAAGTGTCTTGTTATTCATGTTTTCATTGATTTTGTACAAAAATTTTGCATCCGCACAAGCACCAAAGCTCGACGAGACAGAAGGTAGGTTTTCCTTTTGTATCTTCATTGATTACTTCGTTCTGAATCGAGGAATGACGGAGAGATTAATGGTGGTTGTTTGTGTGTGTGGATTGATGCAGTGAAGGTACTGAAAGAAATAGGTGAAAAATTGGGGATAAATGGGACGAAAGAATGGGATTTGGATAAGAATCCGTGCAGTGGCGAAGGGAATTGGGGCCGCGGCGAGTTCCCAAAAGGATTCGAGGTCTCTGTTAACTGTGATTGCTCTTTCGAACAAAATGCCACCTGCCGCGTAGTTCGCATGTACGTATTCCTAATTCGGTTATGGCAATTTGGAATCCAAATGTTAATTAAGGAAGATGAAGTCGATATCCTTACGATTTTACGAAAATCTATGGCCTAAATCTCGTCTAATCAACATTCATTGCAATTTGCACACATACATACATACACAATGTTCCAACGATAGATTTCTGTTTTAATTCTAGGAACTACCGATGCATTTTAGATATCTACATGTGATTTCTGCTCTTCGATTTTCATGAACCTTCAGAATCCACTGAATCATTGGAGGAAAAACTAAACTTTTAAAGTAATAATAATCTTATTTTGGGAACAAAGTTTTCTGTAATTTGATATACTGACCCAAAAAAACTATCTTCTCCACTGGTAAAAAGCTCTTTATGGGTTGATTCTTAATTAACTTCTAAAAAAAAGCTCTTCATGCTCATATATAATTTAGAACTCTTCATTAGATTTTTTAATAGAGCTAACTGCTAACTCTGAAATTGTTCTAAATTCTAATAATGTTTTGAGTATTGTATTCATCTTGATCTTGTCGTATTTATCACAACATGTGAATCTTGGCGTATTTATCAAAAAGCATGTAAATCTTGGCGCATTTTATCAAAAAAAAGATCAATCTCAAATGTATTGTTAATAGTTTATAGTTTTATACTTTATACATACATAGATAGGACATTAGCTTTGACTTGGAAGGTAGTCAACCCGATCTTGTTGACTGCCAAGCTGGAATCAGCTGACAGTTGTACGAGTCCTATTGTCCCCATTTTCTAGATATTACTCCATCTTTTAACCGATAAAGAAAAAAAAAAGAAAAAACCAATATCACCTAAAAAAATAGAGTGTTTTAATATAAAATAAAATTAAATGTAGTTATTAATATATTAAAAATATTATAAGTATCATCGTATCAATGAGTTCGATTGTAGTTTTTATTTTTATTTTTATAACTTTTGTTTTAGTAAAATATACGAGGCAGTGTCTAAAGCACCACTTGAAAGGTCATCAATTTTCTTTGTCATTAAGTGACATAAGACTTATATTTAAGTTTGTTAATGGCTTTTTAGGCAATAAACTTACAATTTTTTTTTAACAAAAATAAGCAATGAATTTAATTTCATATCCAATTATGTAACTAATATGATTTACCAATTTATGCATAAATAAAGAGGCAAGGAAGCAACTAATTATTTAATAGTGATTTTTTTATTTATATGTTAAAACTAATTATATGTATTAAATTACAATATTTGGTAATTGTATTGTTTGATTAATTATTTATCAAATATATAAAATATCTAATGCAAAAGAATTGTATTGACAAAAGCGTTAGTGTTGGTTTGTTCATGAAAAAAAAAATACAAATAGATAATTGTAATTTCTACATGAGAATCAAGATGTAACTTTTTATGTCATAAATGAAAATGAAGAACTTGCAATTTTACAGGACGTAAGATTTATTTATATACATAGTTCTAAAAAATGTTTAACTATTTGAGGAACAAAATACCCAAACGAATTAGAAAAAGATTTATTGACCCAGTCAATCGCATGGAAAAATAAGTAATTTAAATATGATAAAATCGTGGTATCAAATAATTTTAAACATAATGATACTAAAAACTTGACGCATTACATTGTTGTTGGTGTTGAAAATATGAGAAACAATATTTCTAAAAATCCATCCAATAAATATTTTTGTTAAATCTACATAATATACATTACATGGTTTACTTATAAAACCCCTAAATAACCATACGATTTTATCAATTTGGTCTTTTATGAAAGATTGATAAGATTCTGTAACATTAGTCAAAATACATGTAATTGTACAGTTTTTTTAATCATCAATTATACAAATACTACATCTTACAATTCAACATGCACATTGAGTATTTGTTTTTTAAAATTTATGAAATGAAAGTTTACCATCTTTTTTTTGTTACTTATAGGAAATTGTTGCAATACTTATGAGAAGGAGATAGACTTAATTTTTTGTTTGAACAATTTCAAACCATAAATTTTTTAATTTGTCTTAACAATGCAGAGCTTTGAAATCCCAAAACATCTCAGCTGCTATTCCACCAGAGTTTTCCAAGCTTCGATACCTTAAACAATTGTAAGCAAAACCTCTTTGATCAATGATCAAGACATTATTAATCAATAAAAGTTAAGTGTTTTATGTTTATGAATAATAGAATAAATCTAATTTATAATTGTGTGCTTATTAATCCAGGGATCTCAGTCGTAACTACCTCAATGGAACTATACCTCCTCAATGGGCTACTATGCGCTTGGGTGACCTGTATGAACCACCTTTTTTTTTTTTTTTTTTTTACATGTGAAAAATAATTAATAATTATTTTACTTTAGTAACAAATCTTACAATAATCCATGACTATATGCAGCTCTCTCATGGGAAACAGATTATCCGGCTCATTTCCAAGAGTTCTCACCAGAATAACTGTCCTTGTAAATCTGTAAACAACATCACCCCTTCTTATTTTCTTACAATACAATAAATAGACAAAAAAAAAAAAAAAAAACTTCATTTTGATTGTTTCTTCAACATTTTGTAGGAGCATGGAAGGAAACCGCTTTTCAGGATCCATACCCGAAGAGATTGTGAACATGAAAAATTTGCAGAAACTGTAATAACTAATAACTTTTCTTTTCACCTTTTTACCCTTGTATACTTCTGCTTAAAACACCAAGAAAGAAAAATAATAGATTGAAATTATAAGTTTGATCCATATTTTCATATAAAATTTTGTATTCCCAGTGTTCTGGCTTCAAATGAATTCTCTGGCCCACTGCCTGTTGGACTTGGAAAACTTACCAACTTGACTGATATGTAAGTATACATATACTGATATACATAGTACATACATATTTAAACTTATCAATGTATAAATATAATATATTGTTACTTACAATTTTAGGAGGATAAGTGACAATAATTTCACTGGAAAGATACCAGACTTCATTGGCAACTGGACACAAATTCAGAAATTGTAAGCACATTTTATTTATTTTTGTTTGAGGTTTCTTTTTGGTTTCTTGAGATGTATTAATCTGAAAGATGACAATATTTTCTTTTTAATAATGCAGGCATCTACAAGGTTGTTCTCTTGAGGGGCCAATTCCTTCTAGCATCTCTATGTTAACAAAACTAAATGATCTGTATGCAATTCTTTTTTTTTTTTTTTTTTTACCTTTTTTCCTCTCTGAATATACAAAGTTATTGATTCATTTATCTAATATATCTAACATGAAAAATATTTAATATTACTCTTGTGTTACAGAAGGATCAGCGACTTGAAAACTACAGGGTCTAGTTTCCCAAAACTTCAGAAAATGGAAGATCTGAGTAAATTGTGAGTTTTTGATTATTTTTATAATAAACCAATCGTATTAGTATTGAAGTGAAAATATTAAATATTAATTATAATCTGGAATTACACAGGATACTTAGAAATTGTTTGATCCATGGGACAATCCCTGAATACGTGGGGAATATGAGAACACTGAAAACTCTGTAAGTATAAAGGTTGGTATATGTATAAAATTACATTGTCTTGTAACTTATTCATGATATATATATTTTTTTATTGTTGTAGAGACCTCAGTTTTAACAATTTGACTGGTGAAATCCCATCATCTTTTTCTGAACTAGGAAAAACAGATTACATGTAAGTGAATTATCTTCAACAATATTATGTTGTTTTCTAATAAGTATAGTCGATTTTCTAAAAGGTGACACTGTTTTATAGTTATTTGACAGACAATAATCTTACTGGACCTATACCTGGATGGGTTTTCTCAAGCTCCAAAACTGTGTAAGTACAATATTTTCTTAAATAGCCATCTTTCCCTACATAATTTACATCATTAAATAATCAAAAAGTAAAATATTTTCCCAATATATGCCTTTTCAGGGATGTTTCTTATAACCGTTTTACATGGGATTCTTCTGGTCCAAATGAATGTCCACGTGGGACAATGTAAGTTTTTCCACTTTTTCTTTTTTCTTTTGTTCTTTTTTTTCATACTCATGTTTATGCTTAAAATTTTCCTTACTTGAATCAGAAACATGGTGGAGGGGTATTCTTTGTCCACAAACAAACAGTAAGACACGTGACTTTTTATTTTGCGAAACCTTCTTTCAATAACTTGATTAATTTCTATTTTTTTTTTTA